CACGGCCCTCCCCCCAGCCGCTGCCGTGCTGGCGCTCTGCCAGGCCCTGCGTACCAAGAGGGAACCAGCACCCATCTCCGCTCCATTGGAATAACTGACCACCCATGGTGGGCCTGGAGGTGCCCGTGAGCCTCCTGCAGCACCCAGCAGTGGGGGGGGGACTTGCTGGAGGGTGGGGGCTTTCTGCAGGGTGGGGGCTCCAGCCACTTTAACATGAAGCACAACGACCCCAATCCCACCCCCCTCCTCCTTTCTCCATCAAATGCCCCCGGAGAACAGCCCCGAGACACAGAGGCAGCAGGCACAGGAAACGAGCTCCGGCTCCACAGCAGAGTTTTATTGAAACTGCTCTGGAACGGGGCTCAGGCAGGCGGGTGGCGGGGAGCAGCAGGTGGACAGAGGTGCCCACAGCCACCCCAAGGTGCTGCGGGGGCCATGGGGGAAACCACACAGCTACTGCGCCCTTCGGGCCATCAGCATCTCCCGGATGTTGTCTTCTGCTTCCTTCACGCTCCGCTCCAGGTACGACTTCTTCTGCTGCAAGGCAGAAAACCCAGAGGAGAGTTAAGGTCCAGCCTGGCACTGCCAGCCTGTGCCAGGGTGCAGGGGTCAAGAGGCGCTTTGGGCCCTGCACGGGGCAATCCTGACGAGGGGATGCAGGACCCTGGGAGTTTCCTCAGGTGAGGACAGTGGCTGTTCCTTTCCGGAGCATCCTGAGGAGTTAACATTTAGCCTGGGCAATGTTTACAGACTTGGAATTTTATTCCCCCTGAATCCACCATCTGGGAGCTGTAGGAGCTGGTGCAGCAGCAGAGCTGCAGAAAGTGGGATCCGTTAACTGTAGCACGGAAGGAAGAGGAAAGCAGATCCTGTAACACTTGGAACCTAGAGGGAAGTTAAACACACTGAGGCCTCCTCAGGGAGACAACAGCAAAATCCTTTCGCATTTGGGTGAAAAAAGGCTCTTTTTCCCAGCCTCTCCTTCCTATCACACGTTCCCTGGCATCATCCCCAAACACGTGTGTTTCCCTAATCGCTTGCAATTAGGCTGGGCAGGGAAGCAGCCCAAAGCTGTGCAGCCCAAGACAGGAATTCAACGTGCAGCATTTTTTCCTGCTAGACTGGGTGCTCCTGGGTGACTGGAAAAAAATCAGCGTTTGTCTCTTTTGACTATTTTGTCCAGGTTTCCAAACAGACACACCAGTCTCTGGCAGACTCCGGGCCAGCAGAAGGCACTGCTGTGCCAGCACGGGCCGCCCTTGCTGCTGGATGCGGAGCTCCGCCAGCGGCAGCCCGGCGCGCACTGCTGCAGCTGCACTTCGCCAGCAGGCTGCGGGGACCCTCAGGGAGGCTCCCAGAAGTCCATAGGGAGAGCCCTCGGGGGCACACGGGTGGCACTTGGTGCACGCTGGCACAGGGCTTGCTCTACTCACAGTGTCCTCAGCAAAAACTGCTGGGGACCACCGTGGCACCACACTCCCACTGCCCCGCGGTGGCTACAGCCACATGCCGAGCACCTTCCTGCAGGCTTGGGGAGCTCGACGGGGCTCGGTGTCCGGGTCCTGCCGGGTAACGATAAGCACTGGCAGCATTACGACTAAATTGCAGGAGTCTGGGCCGCAGCATGGAGCGCTCTGCCATCGGCTCCAGCACCTGCCTCTCCCGCCACAGCATGGCATGAATGACTTCCCAAGCCCCTGACTCCTGTGAGCCCAGGGGCAGCTGGGACCCATAATGCTGAAGGAAAGTTCATTAGCACGTGGGACAGTCCTGCTGCCATCGATGCCCGTCCATCCCCTCGCAGCAGACCTGCAGCGACACTTCCATACACTCGGCCGAAATGCCCATGCCATGAGGGCATCTCTCCCAGCCCCGTTTCCAGATACTGTTTAAATAAAAGCCCGTCAGTAAAGGTTGTCAGCAACAGCCACGGCTGTGGGCAGGGCAAAGGTCTCCTTGTCCCTCTCCTGCAGGCCCCAGGCACGCAGGATCCCTCTTGCTTACAAGAGCTGCTTTCCAGGAAACCGCTGGAAGAGGCGGTGCAGCGTGGGTTCCCACTACCAACGACTTGCTGACGCACCGGCAGGACTTCTGCCGTCGCTGCGCCGTTCTCACGCTGCCCAGACCGACGCTGAGGGATTTCACACCCAGGGAACTCAATCTGAAGGCTGTGAGGGGAGACAGGTCCCGGAAAACCTGCGCAGGCCTGAGCTCCACTGAGTGGGAGGGAGCAGCCTCAGCAGAGCTGACTTCTGTGCGTTCGCTTATGACTGAAATATTCTTTTTATGGAATTAAATGAGTCTGTGAACTGCTCTGACTTGGTCCTCTCCACTCCCCCTCGCGCCCACCAGGCAGCAAGAGACATTTCCAGAGAGCAGCTCTCCATGGGCAAGCTGGCCCCAGCAACCTCAGGAGAGCTGGGCAGCCCTGCCGTGGCACGGGGAAGCCTCCACACGCAGCCAGGAGCTGGCAGGCTGCAAAGGACGGCTCTGTTCTCCTAGCACAGCGGGATCTCAAGTGTCCTGTGGGGAAGCCATGCTGGGGACCCTTTGGGCCCCACCTCCCCAAGGACAAGGGACCCTGAGCACTAACATGGCCTGGCACAGTGCAGGAGTGTTCATGGCTGTCATGCCTACATGGATCCATGCTGCCACTCCCATGCGGTGGCATGCTCTGCCCTCCCCAAGGAGCAGGGGTGCTGGAGCTACACACTTCAGCATCGCCCGCAGCCCCAGGCAGGGAGGATTCAGGGTATTTGTATTTCCTGTCACACTGAGGCAACGGGATCCAGGCTGGTCCTGGTACTTCTGCTCCTTTCTCCCGAAAGCAGCCTCCACAGAGACTCATCCCTGGGCTCAAGGGGCATCCCTGGGTGTCAAAGGAACCCCTGCGCCCACAGCCGCAGGGGCTGCGCGCT